GGCGCGCGGTGCACGTGGGTCTTAGTCGGACGGTCACGCGGTGAAGCAGTAACCTGGACACGTGGCGTGTAGTGAATCAACATATCAAATAAGTCGATAGCGTATAATAACGGACGATGCGCGGCCGCGAGTTCAGCGCGCAGCCGGGAGTCGGTGCGCAGTCGTGCCGTTACAACTCGGGTTCCTTATAAGCATTTGTCATCAACTGCACTGATCAAAAGAACCAGTTACTGTAACTGGTCAAGGTAAGATTTCAACAAAGGAACCTGTGTCCTTGTTAGCGAGAATGATGCCGGAGTGTTTGGACAAACCGTTTCAAAGGAAATGAAGATGGATGCGTACTAAAAGAGGCTCTATTGTCTGTAAAGTAACGTGCCTAATCACAGTAATCCCGGTACCAAAACGTTTTTGAACACATCTGATAAGAGAGCCCCATGAGAGGACGGCCTTGAAACGAAGAAGTTTTGCTTTGAATGGCAAAGAAACAGTTTAGAAGCGATGAACCCTAAGCAGTGGCAGCAAAAGAACCAAGGCCCCGTAAAATACAACGGTTCGTCGAAGTGAAAACCCTTAGCAAGGAAACTTTGCTAGTACCTTCTGATCATGGCTGACCAAACGCTGCCCAAAGAGACCACTAGCTTTGAACAAACCCCACCAACGTTGAGCTAAGAGGAAGGCTGCTCACAATTGTGTTCTTGAATCCCACACGAATTCCTGATGTTGCTCATTGAACTTCAACAAAGCCTCCATGCTCGGCTCAAAGCCGGGAGGGCTGGCCGACGCATTCCCAACTCTCCTCCTCTTCCTCTCAGCCAGCGGTTCTGGGAACGACTGCGCAGACCGCCTCGGTACAAAGGACCCATGTTGAGCTTCCAGCTTGTCCTCTACCGTGTTTCCTGGCGTGCGGTAACCTTGCCGCGTGCGGGGACCTTCTCGTTTGATGGGCGTGATCTCTTGCGTCTGATTCTTTGCGAGGTTGAACGAAACGCTTTTGTCAGCCATAGAGACAGTGAAGACTAGCCTGTCCAAAGTGTTGATTGCACCTGCACAAGAAACCAGGAACTGGGGTTTTCACAAGGCCTTTTGCATCAGAGAACCACCCTCTCTAGAAACCCGGCAGAAAGTAGATGTGGGTTGGGTGGATTATGCATCAGGGATCTCTAAAATTGAACTGGAATTGAACAGTGGGGCGAATGAAACTCTAAACTAATTTCAACTTCCAGCTAGAACGTGCACCGACATGAGTCTTGGGCAAAAGTCCCGCTCTAAGAATCCATCAATCTGCTCATCTGAAATCCTGACTAAAGCTCTGAAAGCCCAAGCTTATGTGTGCGTTGCGATGATCTTACTACCACCTTCGATTGGAGAGAAAGGCGGAAGCCCAAGACAAGAGCCAAGATTGAAAGAACACGACAAAAATTAGGGTTGTCAAATAAAAGATGACAATCGGGGTGCCATACACCTCAGCGTCACTCTACACCAAAAGACGGAGGATGGTCACTTTGATGGAAGGGATGAAAAGTTAGTTTACCTCATGAAACCAACTTGCTTGTGTCAAACCGCGTCTCAACCCCGTCAGCTTCACTTATAGCAAATAAACCTACAATGCCTCAGTGCTAGGGCAATGTGAGGTGATTCAGGCTTTGATTGGATCAATCTGCCAAAATGAGAAGCTGCAAACCTAAAGCTTCAAGCAAAAGAACCAAAGGGCTAGCCAGATCAGCACCCTGGCAGCAGCTTGCCCCTAGCTTGCCCGCACCTTGCCGCCCCCTTGCCGCAGCTTGCAAACGCCTCTGATGTATACTATTTGACAATGCCGCTGAAATAGAGGGGAAAGTAAGAATATGCAACGAGTGAAACCTGTGCCACTTTGCACAGCGTCTGTTAACATGAGCTGCATAAGCCTAAGGTGCTCTTGGACGCGCAGACGAGCTTGGAAGCCCTTGTAGCGGTTATGTCTATAAGCATCAAGAGTCTTGTCAGTCAGCTGGCGCCGCGTATTGCAGTCGGTTTGCCGGTTGTTCCTCCCGGGTCGCGGTGGGGACGACTGGACATATAAGGAGCAAATGCTTGAGTATTGCCCGGTACAGCTGCCAGGAAGTGCCGTTTAACGAGCCGTAGGTCGCGACCCTGTCACTGGTAACAGTATTGCCGTCAAATCAAACTGGCGGGTATTACGTGTGAGCACTATTTTCGATCGACGACATTTCATATTTGAGACGCTGCGTATACATCAGAGCGGCCATATGCGGTCTGAGCTCATATAAGCGGTTGGGCCCTACACAATGGCCGTACCCCCCAAGCCGAACGCAAAGACAACAGTACGAAATTCGACCCGGGTTTTACCAAAATCCGGGCTTTTCCGATCCGGGGTTTAGGGAGTCCCGGCGCTTCCCACCCCACTTGCTACAACCGTAACCGGAGCGGAGTGACAAATGGACAGCTGGCCGCTCGGGCAGCTCACCTGTTTGAGCAAGCTGTTCCGTTTGTCCTGATTTCGAGGAGGGAGCTATGGAGGCCGCTTCCGCTTCTGACCTGGAGTTTGCGGCAGTAGGCTACAAGGAGCAGCTCGAGCAAGTGAAGAGATTACTGGTTGCTGAACCAGGCAATGCTGAATACTTGCAGGTAAGGAGGACAACTGCATTCTGCAATCAGCAAACTCACAAGCAGAATGTAGTGCACTGCAACTGAAAGGGAGTGCTGATGTACTACCAATTGATGTCGCAGCTGAAAGGGGATGCTGATGTACAGCCAATTGACGTCGAAGCTCGGGTTGCTGCTTGGTGACAGGCAAGCACGGTTTGCGCAGTATATGATGGTCGTCATCGCAGAGGTGGCACCGTGATTTCGCCCGCTGTTCTTATTGCACCACCCCTTCACTGCATCACATTCTTCTTGCAGCTGCATGACGAGTTGGTTGAAATCGTCAGCCTCACAGAAGAGCTCCTGAACACCGCACCGCAGATCCTTGAGCAAGCCTTAGAAGCTGGGCATCAAAATTTCGAGCTATATCAAGGAGATAGAACTACTGCCGTAGACGCTTCTGACAGCGCTGCCCCAAGCATTGGTCCTTCTTTGCCAGCTTACAATGTAAGGGAGCAGCAAAGAGCCGAGATTGGGGTGGCTGTTGGAGAGTCGGGTCCGTCTCAAACGCATCAAGAGGATGGGGGGCATCTGGGGCCTTTGCATGGGCATCAGGATTGTCCGGAACATAGTGGTCAACACCAGCATCAATTACTGGGAAAGAGAAAACAGATGCATCCTCGAAACAAGTACGCTGACGCGCCACCAGACTTTGACCAGCTCGCAGCCAAGTACCCCTCCTTTGCCCCGTATGTGTATCACTCCGCAGCTGGGCGCCCAAACATCGAGTGGTAAGCCTTCTTGTTTCCCGTAGCCGTAGATGTTTGCATCTTGCAGTCATTTCAAAGAATCTTTGCTATTTGCTGCACCAGCTTTTGGAGACATCTGCCTATGCCCCCCCCAGCAGGTTTCTCGATGTTCAAAGGAGAAAATTCCCAAACATGACAGAGGTCTTATTGGTGTGTCCCTTGATGCAGGACTGACTTCAACGCATCTCGGGAGCTGACGCGCGTCCTCCTCGACCATGATCACGGTGTCAAGTGGTGGATTCCAGATGGCCAATTGTGTCCAACAGTGACAAACCGGGCTAACTACATCCACTGGATTGAAGACCTGCTGTACCTATCGCCCGCGCCGTGGCATGCCCAGGTAGGGTCCTGTGGAAAAGGAATCCGTTTTGGCCATCCTCAGGAGAGCTACATGGACGAAGCCGATCGTCTCCTGGATTGTATGCACTTGACGAAAACTTGAAGTGTGTGATTGAGCTAGCTGTAGCAGGGTGGCAAGAATCGAGGTGCTACATTGTGTAGCAATTGAATGATGTCTGTTTCGCTTGGAAGTACTCTTGCTCAATTAGAGCAGCAAAGAAAGTCTAAGTAAGTCAATTGAAGCAATCGATGTTTTGTTACTTGATCTTGCAGGGGCCACAAACGAAAAGCGGACACGTCACCGGGCTTGACATCGGCGTTGGAGCCAATTGCATCTATCCACTCTTAGGTGCAACTTTGAACGGTTGGAAGCTCGTGGGAACAGGTAAGGCAAGGTCAAAGAACCGAAATTGCGTCAATTGTCTCCAAGGAATTGTCTTGGCCAAGAGACGCACAGTCTGTAATAATTTCCGATGGAACTGGATCCATTCGACCATGAGAGCTGGCTTCGATCATCGCCTGAGACGAAATTGTTGAAGCGCCGTTGTCGAAGCTGTTTTGTGCTTAGTCAGTCTTCGTTCTTCAGAGGGCATTCTCATCTCTGCCAGCATCACCATAAAGGATGTCGGCTTTCTAACGTGTCAGCGTATCCAGATTGGAAAGCCGTTGGTGCTTCTAACCCTTGCACTCGCTTCTTTGCAGACGTTACGCCGGTTGCTCTGACATGGGCCCAGAAAAACGTGGACGCCAACCCGCACCTGGCCCCGCTGATAGAGATTCGGTCCGCTAAAGTAGAATCAGGTCCAGAACTCGACACCAAGCGAGAGCGTGTGATAGACAAAAAAGAAAGCTCGCATCCGGAGGCAAGTGGAGGACACAGCCCAGAGGACGGTGGGGCTAACACGACTGGGGGTGAGCACGGGGAAAGTCTTCGCTCAGCTCCTCATAAAGGAAATGGACCTGAAGCAAGCGCCAGCGAGCGGGGGCCGGAAGAGTCAGCAGACGATGAGGACGCACCGGCCGCACCGCCCCACCCCATTCTGGACGGAGTGCTGCGGCCAGGGGAGTGCTTCGACTTCTGCATGTGCAATCCCCCTTTTTTCGAGAGCATGGACGAAGCGGCGGCAAACCCGCGTACTGCGTGCGGGGGCACGGAAGCGGAGATGGTGTACCCGGGGGGGGAGGAGGAGTTCGTGGCGCGCATAATTGCGGACAGCTGTGCGCTCAAGGGGCGCGTGCACTGGTACACCAGCATGGTGGGCAAGAAAGGCAGCCTCAAGAAATTGGTGGCGCTGCTGCGCAAGAAGCGGGTGAGCGGAATCGTCATTATTGGTTCGACGAACTTTGTGTGGCTCCTACCTTTGGCGCGTGGGAGGTTTGTGCCGGAATTTTATTGCCTTGACGTTGAAATGAGGGGAATGATTGCCCAGAATTGGAACGAGTAAGGGTATCATTTCTTTTCGCTGGTCTTTCATCAAGTAGCTTGCGCTATCTGGGAGAACAGAGGAGAAACGCGAAGTTCTTGATTGGGTCCCAGGATCGACCGTTTGATGTTCATCTTCCTGCGAGTTGACCGTTACTTGCTGGCTGCTTTTGTGACTCCTCAAGCAACAGGTCTTCGTTGCTATTGCGCTGCTTCAAGAACTCATGTCAGAGCCGTGGAAGGTCCGTCAAGTACGGTTTCAGGAAACGACGCAGTCTTAGGACGTCAAACAAAAATCTCCCAGGCAAGTGATCGACACTTCACAAATTCTCGGGTACCTCACCCCAGATCAGCTGGACGATGCGGATCGCTGTGCTCAATTTCCGATTCTGATTCCGTGCAGGTGGCGGCTACAGAAACGACCGAGTTCGTCCAGGGGAAAACCTCTCGATGGGGCCTAGCGTGGTCTTTCACGCCCAGGAAGATGACAGCCGCCATGAAGGTACGAACGCCTGACACGGTTGGCTCCTTTTTGCCTCCGGTACCATCCCGTTGCAACATCAGGGGTTTACTTTCGTCAGCGCTACCTTATTCAAAACAACTTCAGTTTTAGCAAGTTGCCACCCGCAGCGTTCCTGAGATTCCGGGTTTCCACGTTTCGAGGTGCTCTGGGCCCGAAACAGATGGGATCATAAGGCGACCACAAGTGTAGTACGCTCTTCCTCAAAGGTCACCTTTTTGGTTATGGAGTCGGTGACCTTCCCGATGCTGTGGAGTCTGCCTGGATTATCCACAGGCCTACATCTGCAGTGATGAGAGTCGCACAAGCGCCGCAAGTACATGCAAAAAAAGTAAAATTTTATTACCTGTCGGGGCCACGGGCCCAATACTGGTGGCACGTTCTTTGCTTAAGAGGTCTCTTTCGGGATCTGAAGGTGAATTTTGCTGTTCGTTCTTGCAGGAGGCGGTAGCGAAGCAGCTGCCGCAGCGCACCAAGATCTCCTTCACCCTGCAGCGACTGGGGCGGCAAACCGCGGCCTGGACCGTACTGCAAGCGATCCGGGAGGAGCTCCAGCGAGAGCGCGCCACGTGTCAAGTCAACGAGGCGACTTTCGCCCTCCAGGCCCGCATTCCCGCTGGCGCTCTAACGGTCCCCAGGGGAGAGGCGGATGATAATACGGAGGCAGAAGATACGGGCGAGGCTGGGCCGGAAGAGAAGCGTAGAAGGTTAGAAACAGGTGGAATGGAGCATGGCGAATTCGCGGTTAAGGTCTCGGTGTTTCAGCAGGCCCCTGGTACCCTGTTGGTGTCGGCCATCTTGACGGAGCAGCGAGTTCCAATAGCCACGACGGCTGCTTTCGGAACGTTGTTTGACCGGGTAGAGGAGAAGTTGAGAAAACGCTTCAAGAGTGCTTGAAGCAGCACGTGAAGTCCGTCTTCCTAAGTCGCATTGTGCACAAGCTTTCACGTTCTATCGCAGCTACGACTTGATTCGTTGTTCGGAAAGGCTGCCAGCCCCCAGAGTCTAAAGTCCCAGAAAGGCGTTGTACTAGTCGGACGACCTGCCGTTCGTCACCATCCTGCATCGCGATTTCTAACATGGCACCGTCTTAGCATGCTGTGCGGCTGCACCTCACCAGATCGAGGAATGCTTCAAACGCCCTTGCAAAGTTTCTGACTGCAAGCTGCGCATACATGGTCCGGCGTACTGTACAGCAGCCTGCATGCTCATGCGCCATTTCTTGTCACACCAATAGGTGGAAGCAAGCATGTCACCGCGCGCGTGTTCATGCAGCCGCAAGTATGCAGATAGCTTCACAAGTGAACTTCGGCGGCGAGAAGGTACCATGGTCCATCTTGACGCTACCTGGACACTTATCCAACACGTGTGGTTGCATGCAAGACGCTCGCCGGGTGGAACATAGCGCATGACGGTAGCTGCCCAGTGTGACTCGAATACCACAATTTAAAGCTTGAATCCAATCTGCCGCGTGCGAGCCCAGTACATCTTGCGCACTCGAAAGCAAGCTTCTAGGTAGGCCGCGGCAAGACAGGCGCTCAACATAAGAGCCTGTCTACCCGCTGTATTGCGCTTCAGCTTCACTGGACGGACGTGCAGGTTTGTGAAACTCGAGTCCGACTCTGAATCAAGCTGTAAGCCCCCCTTATACACCCCGCTACAATGAAGACTATGCAAATTGGCGCTCATTGTTCGTTGACGTCAAAGCGGCGAGTATCAGCGTTGTCGGACCTTGTCGCTACAATAGTACACCCAGTCCCTTTGGGCGAATTGGATTTTGACAGATCCCCTGATTCAAACTCATCAAAGATGTAACCTGCAGAGCGCCTATCCAAAGCAGTGAAACGTTGTACGACAGAAAGGATACTTGTGAAGCACATTCAAATTTGAGACATTCTGGGGGACTTATGCAACTTAGAAAGCGCCTGGTCCATAGTGGGGCACTCTCAATAAGAGAAATCATCAGCATGGGGGTCTGATTGGAAGCGGGTCGGGATACTGAGCAGTTTTGTAATCAACGCTCAATCTCACGCAGACTGGCGGCTTATTTTTCGGATAGAATAAGGCGATCTACGCTTGCTAGCCCAGGTCTTTCCTCGGCGCGCGGATCTACTTGCATCATGAATCATTGCTTCCACGGAAAGTTAAGACGAAGACTTGTCTGTCTCACCTTGCAGCGCTTTCTTGGCGGTGGCCGCGCTCGCGTGACTTTCAAACTCGACGAAGGCGATTGGGTATTCTGCCGCACTCTACAGGAAGATCAAGACCCGCATAAGGCAACGCACATGTCAGTACCATTCTGACAGAAGCTGATCCCACAAGTTGCAAATTTTCATATCTGTTTGAATGTTGGAAGCAATTGCCGCAAGAACGCGCCGGGAAGGCGAAACTGACGGATTCGAGGGAGCTCGTGACAAATGACGGTCGAGGACTTACCGTCAATCGAGTCAAGCTGCGGTATCCGATGAAGGGTCGGAAAATGTTGTACTCTGGAAGATCAAGGTTTGACTTCAAAAGGAGAGTCGGCCATTCGTTCGTAGCTAAGACCGGCCAGATGAGAGGCGCAAAGAAGAATCGACTACGGTGAAAGACACGAGGATCAAGGCAAATAGGCGGCTGGCTTAGGATCCAAGCGAGAAGCCGTTCTGAGTGTGTGGAGAAGTCGGATTTTGAACAGCGTGAATTCTCGAGGTCAAGCTCATTGGAAGCTGAGCAAGGATACGCGCTAGCTCCCTCCTCTGAACGTCAGGCGGAAACCCCTTGACGAACAGGATTCGAACCCCGCGACCTGGACGAGACTCTGCTGACGCAGTGGGAGCGCCGGTGGTCTGATAGGCATGCACCGCGGCATTGGGGGAAGGAGGGCCCGGAGTGGGTGGGCAAAAAGCTGGAGCCCAGCCATCTGGAAGGCGCAAAAAGCCATAGCTGCCAGATAGATTCCAATCCAAATAATTAATTGGGTAATATGGAGTTCCGTTGTAGTGACTTTGACACCTTAGCGTAGCGTTGTTACCAGGCGACAGATTCTGTGGGGTGGCTGTGAACCGTTGGCTGACTCGACGTTGAGGACTGACGGCACGAAATAGAGTACGACTACAATCGCGAGCTGTGGCAGAGAAGCCTTCTATTCTGATCCGCCTGGCGAGCTCTGGCCCTTGCATTTTTACTGCGGCCCGAATGTAACAGCGGCAACGCGTACATCTGCTTCATGAGAACAATAACAGTTGCTCTGTTAGATTTATTGATCGCCCACTACTCTTCTTGTCAAGCGCCAGCAGCGCAATGATGTCTTGAACAGTGAAATTAGCGTTTTCTGCGCAAGTGTGAAAAATGTCTTATGGCTTTCGGGGTGCGCTATATTGCCAAAGTGTCTCACCAGAAGAAGCACGCTGCCGCTTGCACGGAGGCCGCTCGTCGAGATCCTGTTCCCAGTCAGCCCACGCACTCATCTCGTAGAATGCAACAATCTGGGTAGCAAAGAAATTGTTGGCGCAGCTTCCAACCCCTCTTCTAATACAACATGTTTTTTTCCAGCACGAAGCGCTCTAGACGTCCGCTGTGGTCTGCTCAGAAGCCCGGAATTGGTGTGCCCCTAACTATGACGACGCGGCTTTTGAAGGAGGCGATGGATTGTACCGTTCAACGTCCTAAACCGACCAACGCGACTTGCAAATTTGTGCTGGATACATACTCCTCTCTCACTTCAAGGCACAAACCTTCCGCGTTTGAGTGACGCAGTACGCTTGCAGTCGCGGGTATGATAACTTTCGTACTTCCTTCCGTAGGAAGAGAGGAGCGCCCGTCTTGATCAGTATGGTGGCTCGTTATTGATTCTTAGCTTCGACTCTCGTTATGGACGTCAAACGACTTTAAGCGGCCGCCGTCTTCCCTCCAGGAGATGCGACCGCCAAAAAGGCGACGTCTGTCTGAGTAGACTTCACGAGTGCGCGGAGTTGGAGAGTTGTGCAGCTCGTTATTAGCCCGCCTGAGGAGATGTTGACTTCAATGGCCTCCGCCCATAGTGCGCGCTTCGGAATGCAAACACGACATACTCAGGAGACCGTGCTACAGTAGTGGCATCATGTGATGCGCAGATGCGCCGCGACAACCTTTCGGCCTTGGCCGTCATCCTACAACTTGCCAAGCGCCACCACTGACCGTAGCTGGAAGCGATGCGAGCTAGCTGCTTGCCATGCACTTTGGAGTTCGAATGTCACGACAAACGCGTGCAGTACTGCAGTACGGTATGCACTACGATTGGCTGCATCTATGGGGTGAATCCCTGGGCCTCCGAGATTTAGTCTCTTTAGTGCAGCGCCAACGAACAGCTAGCTACTGAAGGACTGGGGCGACTCCAGAACAAGCTCCACTGGAGCTTGGTTATGGTTGAACGAGGTCGTCAGCAGCATTCAGTATCAATGTGGTAGGATAGTAATCGTGAAAGCACGCGCTCGCTTGACGAGTTATGAGTAGCCGCAGACTTCAGCTGCCCTTGATACCGTCAGACTCAGGGCCCGGGGTGGCAGCTTCCTGGATAACCTGTAGCACCTGCCAGAATATCAGGCGATTGGAGGGCTTGCTTTTGCGATATATCTATCGAGAAAAATATTCGATATTTTGAATATATTCGATTTGAAAGCTTGCTTTCACGCTTTTACACTCGTAAAATATTCAATATTTTGAATATATCAGGATTCTGGCCAATATTTGTACTTTATTTGCAGTATATTGAATAATATTGGATATATCCGGGGCAAAATCCTGGCATATCCGTGCTGGCACCCTGCTATTGGAAGTATTCGGTATCTATCGGACCGAATAAATTGGATAAACATATCCCCCCCCTTGACAAAATCTGAATAAAAGTAGTGATATGTGCTCAGCTCAACGAGACGAATGCAATGGTGCAAACAAAAGTGGAATATTCACTCATAATCTTGACGATATTTGAATTTATAAGGATTTATTGCAATTATTTTTATCCATGGAGCTGCCATCCCGGGACTCAGGGTACCGATTGGCACATGGCACGTTAAAGGGCAGCTGTGATAGGATATTTCCCGCAAGGATTGGAAAGAAAAGCCGGCTTTTGAGGACATGGCTCGTGCGTGAGAAGCATGCTGGGCATCATGGCACACAAGCCAATTACAAGCTGAATGATTAAAGCGGCCCCGGTATTCTGAGCGCGGGCCGAGCTGCATCAAAGCATGGGCCCGGCGGCCGCGCTGGCGTCCTCCTGGCGGCCGCGCGCGTTGTGCGTAGCAGCGCTAACGCACTGCTACCGTCCTATGCAGCCGCGGCGCGGCCGGGCCGTCGACTGGGCGCTGGGGTTTATTCAAGGGACTTTAGCGGGGTATGATCTGCCCAGCCGGGGTGCCACGTAAGTCATTGGTCGATAGAGCAATGATTGTACCGTATCGTCTCGGATTCGATACCTAGCTTCCACGTGTCTTTCAATGTCCTTCTTGCCACCTGTCGCGTTGAGGTGAAGCACTTGGCCGCCACGTCACATCCTCCCGAAGGTAGCAACTTGAATGCAGATCAGCTGGAGGATCTTTTACTGTTCTCTGATTAGTCGCCTTGAACAAGATCTTGAGATTTCCAGATTGCGATTGAAGTCTCGAGATATCGACAGAATGTGACCGTCCTCGGCCGTAGGCCCGTAGCCGACCATTACTGCCAGCTGGCACCTGTCCTTTGAGTTTTACCCAGCACAGCCCAGGCTTGAGCCTTGAGGCAGCTTGCCAGAGGCTTGAACTGAGGCTGAAGTTGCTCTTGGGGAGAAAGCAAAGAATCTGCCAAAACCTCGCACAAAACACAAGTGCTCAAAGATCTCGGGAGCTGCTGATCAGGAGAGACTCTACAAGCTGCATTGCACCAGCTCTTTACCTTCATTACGCAAAGAAAGCAGTCCGTTAGTTCTTGAGTGTTCACGTCACCTTGAAATCATCTCAGAAGTGGCGTCGACGCAACCATGGCAGCTATTGGGGCCGCTGTGCGGCTTTCTTCGCCCCTGACCTCCGGGCTTGCCTCCACCTCTGCGGCCTCTGCTTCAACTGAGGCCACAAGCATGTCCGCTGCATTCAACTTCCCCCCTCGCATGCAGTCCCAGCCTAACTCCCTCTCCTTCTCAGCAAGATTGCCAACTCCAGGGCAGACTGGGAGAACTTTCACCGCCCGGATCTCAGCGAGTCTCAGCAATGTGACCACGCACAGGCTGGAGCGGCAACCTTCCACGCAAAAACCCCCCACTCTCCAGCGGCAGCCAACGCAGAACCTTGGGAGGACAGGATCCGGGATCTTCGCTGGTATTGAGAGAAAGCTCAGCATCGGGAGCTACAGCCTGGAGAGGAAGGCGTCCATCGGCCTCAATAGGTTGGAGCGTTTGGGGAGTTCAGTTGGCAATGGGGGCTTGTTTGACCACCTGGCTTCAGTCCCGGAGCAGCCCTGGGGGGGTTCCAGCAACTCCCAGCCTGCAAGCTGGCATGCAGTCCCTGCTCCCCACGGTCATGCGGAGCACCAGAAGAAGATGGGGGTGGTTGCTTCTGCAGCAGCAGTTGGGGGAGCAGTCCATGCAGGCAGGGCGGCAGCGCAGCGGCGGAGCAATCTAAGCCACAGGCAGACATCTGGATCTTGGGGCCCCTCCTCCCTCCCCTCCCACCCTGAAATGGAGGATGGCGAAACCGGGGTCTACTTTGAGGACACCCCCCGTCTGGCGTATGCTGGCTCGATGAGCGCGGCACTAGAGTTTGACCCTCTGGATCTTGGCTCCTCCCACCTCATGTCCCAGTTGGAGATCCAGAACACGCGCAGCGGGGTTGCGGAGAAGATCCAGTCTGCCTACCAGGGGCTGCTGAAGCAGGACTGGCCGGTGTTCATTGGGTCACTGTTCGCTGCCCCCGCAGCACTGAGCGCAGTGTTTGGGGTGCTGTACATGCTGGACCCTGCTGGCCTTGCCCTTGATGACAGGTGAGGACCTTGAACATTAGTAGAGGCAATCGCCTATCACAGTCTTTCATCTTTCCATATCTGTGCCATTCTTTGCATTTCTGTGCCAATCTGGATCTGCATCTCTGTGCCGATCTGGATATGCAAAGCCCTTGCAAATATGTCCCATCAAATGCACTGTTGATCCTTCTTGACACTTTATCAGTCTGGCATGCGAGACATTGCATTGAGGTTGTGTCTGTCAACAGTCTTCATTGCTTCTTTTCTCATCTCAATTAGTGACAACCATTCTCATCCGTCTTCATTTCTGTCTGTGCAGTGTCGTCAAGTGTGCTGCCTCCTTTGGCTGCCCTGCCAGCACTGTCGGCACCCCCAGCCTGTTCACCTACCTCAACGCCGTCATGATGTCCATGTCCATGAGCACCGGGGTGGACCCCGTAATGCACGCCGTCAGCCCCTTCACCATGCTGGTCAGCCAGCTCAACGGCCTCGCCTCCCAGTGCATGTTCGTCCTCCTCAGCGGCGCCGTCTTTGCCCGCCTGTCCCAGCCCTCCCAGCCAGTGGTGTGCGCAGAGAAGGCGCTCCTGTGCAATGGTGCAGCAGACACAAGGTGAGGGGATTGACTAATTTTTTTTGCTCCCTGCTATCTCTTCAGTTGCACTTTGGTTCAGTGTCTTGTGGTCGAACTGTCAGAATGGACAGCAATTGTTCTCCCTTCTTCTGTCTCCCCTAATCAAGATATTGGCAGATTCCATGAAAGCCAAGAGATATGTTTGGTTGTTTCAGTTTCCTATGTGCATGCCTGTTTGCAGTATTTCAAGAAATATCTCGCAAAGCTGCAATACTTGCTGGTGTTTGCATTTGCCTCCTCACTGCCACTTCCGATGACTGCTTGTTTCAGATGCTGTTCCTATCTCTTCATCAAAAGCCTTCACTTGAACACTCTGCTGACAAGCTCTTTTCGCTTTCCCAGGGTCCTTGCCACCCGCTACGTCACTCGCCACGAAATGGTAGACGTCCGCGTATCCGCAACCATAACCCGCACTGTGCGCACCTCCAATGGCAGCTGGACCCGCACCGAACAGCCCCTGCGCCTCGCCCAGTCGGAAGCCGTCTACCAGTCTGAGGGGATGGTTATCCAGCACCTGGTCGACAGGAGCAGCCCCCTTTATGGCTGCAGCGAGCAGGATCTGAAGGAGCAGGACGTGGTCCTGCGGTGTAGTATTGTGGGGCTGGACAGGGCCACGATGGGGTCTGTGTTCCATGTCGAAGAGTACAAGGCGAAGGATGGGAAGCTGGCGCTTGCTAGATAACGGTAGGGGTGACTGGCCACGAAAATGTGGGCCAGTTTCTGTAAAGAAATAATTGAAACCGTTGAATAGGTAAACAGGCACGCTTGTCAAATGATAGTCTAGATTGGATTGCTCGCGCAGAATTGCACGCTTACGGCCTCTTGACAGAATTGAAAGTCTAAAACCAGAGAACAGTTTGGTAAGTAGAATAGAAAAGGAAAATCACTAACTGAACAAGCACGCTGTGCTATATGATAACGGAAAAATGCTGATATACATAAATTGCAACTTCGCTCACTGCCGCCTCATCATTTATACTGCTCTCTGCTCGCCTTTAATGGTGTCCTCTTAGAAGAGCTGAATTTTAGTGAAGTTCAGAATTGTATGTGCATACTCTGTCAGTAAGCGGAATACTTTGGAATGAATGCGAATGGATGTTTAATGCATCAAAACTCTCCAAATCAAATTCGTGAGGGGGAAAAACGTTTAAGAAGGTAAAGTTCAAATATACGTCCGCGAGATTGGATCACAACGAACCATTTAGAGTGCAGATCAACGGCCCCCTTCACGTTGCGCAATCCACTTCGCCAATCTGTCATCAGCCGTATGATTGAACTGTACGTGGGCTGACTGATTATGTTTTCCTTTCCCATTCTGAAAGCTATCGTCCCACACGCATTGAGTTTCTAAGAGAGAGAGATGAAGACGAAGCTGTGCGCACTGAAGACACTTGTACAAACAGGATGCACCTCACGTACAAAGACTGATGTGACGACATCTGAAGTCGTGCCTATCCGAATCAGAGTCAGAGAGCTGCCTACCACTGCGCCGGCCCATGCAAATGGAAATGTGGTATTGCATAGCGTGATTAGTCCATCTCAGAAGAAGCATGTCGACCTTTCTAGAGCTGGAATTCTGCAAAGGCATAATCTTGAGCAACTACCGTAGCACACCTTATAAATAGTCTGCCAACTCGTTTTTCCCCACAGTCTGAAAAGCGTCAAGGTCTGATGGCCAAGTCTCTAAGTTCTGGTCGTAGGTTCATTGAATTCAGCAAGTAGTGCTGCAATAAGCACTCCTCGGACGTCACAGTGCGGAGGACGTCCGGGTCTTGCTCCATGGCCTTCATCCACTGGTGGGACTGCCAAAGCACAAACACGCACGTAACTTGAGCAGTGACACCTACGGCCTGAAACAATCTGATCAGGATGGCTAGGTATCTTGATTCGATAGAATTTGACGTCACGACTCGGATTCAGGCGAACTTATACCCCAAGGACGCTATGATGAGCAGATGACGTCGCTGGGCGGCTGGCCGTTCCTGCCCTTGGATGCACGAAACCAGATCGGTCCGAATGCCCACAACCAGGAGCAGCACTGCATTCGAGAATGTCAAGAGAAGTGCTTTTGTCGACAATCGGCCCATGGATCGGATCTGTCACCGACGTCCTGGCTAAAAGGTTTCTGACCACGCCTGCAACAAATTAATGGGGCCTGATCTCTGCAAGAGACTCACGCCGGAAACTCCGTTGTCTCTCGAGCTGCGGCAGGCGGAGCGCGAAAGACGCCAGGTGGATGTCGACAACGCTCATGCGGTCATCGAAGAAGAAGGGCTCGGTCTGCGGACGTCTCTTGCAGCGCCTCGTCGAGGTGCGCGCGTCCACAGGTGCGCGCGCAGGGCCTTGTGAGCGTGTTCGGGGTCGTCGTCGGGCATGCTCCGCGCAACGCGGAAGAAGGCCGGCCCCGACTGCAATGGAAAGTTTATCTCACTTAAACAAGCTTCAGGAATGGCCGTCTTTCTTTTCGAGGCTCTCCCGGCAAACGATGGCGCACAGCATGATCAACCGCCGCGCGCGGAAAGAGTTGACACGTCAGACATGTCTTCTTTCCCTGTTACTGGCAGCCCACCTGAGAAAGCCACACCCGCCTCCTTACGTGAGACTCTGATGGCGGTTTATGGATCCCACTTCAATCCAATGTACTTCTGATTCGAAGTACAGATGAAGCCGCCAGTTTTCTCTTGACAGATCGAAAGCGCAGGTCTGTGGACGTTTGAGATTCAACCGTCGAGCACTATATTCGACCAGATTCTGAAGCAGAGAAGGATTTGCAGTCTCGAGTGGATTTGAAAAGGTGGCATATCAAGCTACGGCTCGGCTGATTACATTCACGATGATGAAATTGGATCCATGTACGCGCTTTCGCTTTGCGGTGCAGCTCTGACGGAAAGAAGGCGGGGTGGCGAGGAGACAGGAACGCCTCGTCGAGGTGCCTGCGGACCTGGGGCCGCTCTGTCTTGAAAATACGTAACCATGACCACAAAGTGCCACGAATGCAGAGTGAGCACAGACGCGGATTTAGAGGACCAGGAGTTGAAATTCTTCAAAAAAGATTTCCACCGTTTTAGCTTGGTCAAAACGACGTACTCGATGATGACGGCGGTTTCGCTAATGAGGTGACCTGCAAATAGCCAGGTGGCGCAGCTCAGCCAAGGCGAGCCTGTTCAGATGCAGAGAGCAGTAAGTCGCTGTCGAGCGGAGGAGAGTGCAAGCATCTTCGTGAAGGCGCGCGGACCAAGAGTCAGAAAAAACATGCCATTCAGATTCTTGAACCCCTGCAGAACTGTGGCGCCGCAGCCGTTCTGATGTGGGAAACGTACCGCATCAGATCAATCCTTGCAGCTCATAGCCGAAGATAATCAAGCTCACCGCACAGACGGAACTGCGGAGGTCTTGACTTTCTGGGCGATTGATTCGCGGGACTCTTGAGCGAAGCTTTCCTGCTTTTAAGCAACGAACAGAGTCACAAACAAGCCGCCTGAAGATGCTAAAAGCATCATCCTCCAGTCAGATTGCAAGCAGGTTAGAAACTGATCGGACAATTCAACCGAAGCAGGAGAAACGAAACGGGCTTGAGCACTGTGCCCAGGAGCCTTCATATTGCGCGACTGGGCGGCAATGCAGCAAAACTTCTGGGCTGGTAACAAAAGCAAAGAACGGAGTGCAATGATGAGACGACGGTGAACACAAGTCAAAGCTTTTCTCCAGTTTCTCAGCGGAGGTACAAAACCCAGAAGAAAGGCTGCTCTCGAACAAAGTTGGCCAAGTATCCCACCCACACGAGTTGCACACGTCAAATGCCTTTGTGATCAGCTCTTTATTGCTCTCTTAGCAGGCCATCGTAGGGCCCTGGTGCATGTGCCCACAACGTTCCCTGAATTCTGACCGTTGTTGCAGCAGAGTAGGGACTTTCCCTCGAGGGTTGTCACTTGAGCGAATCTGCTTGCTTCTGAGTCTCAAGTCCTCTTCGACCCGTTGATACCCCGTTGATACTGTACGCCCTCCTTCTCTAACGCTATCCACACTAGTCTCTTTGCAAAAGGAGAACCCCAGGCATTGAAGAAACTGACCGTCTCCTCGTTCAGCTGGACCTTCGCCATGATTTTGATCGCACTACTTGGCGAGTACGTCTTGGTACACCGTATGCGATGCGAAGACGGGCAGGAGACGCCGGGGGGCCCGGTCCTTGGAGTAGTTCCTCGTGCTTACTTACCTGCAAGCTAACGTTCAACAGATTGAGAAACATTGCTGCACTCGAGTGCCGTATAAGAATCTGCAAATTTCTCCTGAAGTGTCTCTTTGAAGCTATCAAGCTAGTTCTGCAGTGTACCGCTGATACCGGCGCTGCATTTGTAGCGTCCTCGCGCGAGAAATTGTACTATCTGAACCGTCCATGCACTCTTGTTTAAGCGTCGACGGTGCGAACGCCCCCGCCGGTGGGCTCCGGCGCTGACCATCGATAAGCGCCATCGGTCCGCTGCATGCACCGACAGCAGTCTCTACGCTGCATCATGCAACCGACCGGCCGAATGGGGTGTGCACTGTGCATGCAGAATGCTGTTCACAGTGTAACTTGAAGGCAGGACCCATGATGAATATCCTCCAGCCCCCAGCAATGCCCAAGCTGCACCCCATACAATTCTAGCTGATCAGCGCTGGAGAAGTCAAGCTTCTAGAGGCTAGTTGAGACACTGGAATTTGGTGAAGTGGGAGCTCAACTTGTCCGCCGTTGGAGATAAGAGTCCTGTGCCAAAGGGCCGGGTGTTTGTGGGCAATCAGTAGCCGATCCGGGAAGCGCAGCATCTAGATATCTGACAGCAAGCTGCTCTGGCCGCCGCCGCCATGGCTCATTCGCAGGGTCATTCGCACGACGTGGTCAGGTTCTTTAATGCATGGCCCAGCCCCTTCGCCCAGAGGGTGTGGATCGCCCTCAACAGAAAGGGCATCGACTATGAGAGGATCGACATCGACCCGTCGTATGAGCGCAAGCCGCCAGAGCTGCTCAAAGCCAATCCCAAAGGGACAGTGCCCACAATCATCCACAAAGGTGCCAAATGCGCCTGCTCTGGCTGGCCGTCCTTTGAATCATCCTCGCGAAAATCTTCTGCAGTTGCTAATGACATAGGATCTTTCTTGCTTTTCTCATCATGCACAAGGGACAGAAACGCCGTTCTGAAGAGAGCTCGTGCAGGTGGTGTGTCAGTACTACTAGTTGGAGTGGTAAGAGGTGTTTGAGTGGTGCGCGCATCCTCAATGCACCAGATAGAATCCTGAAATCGTCAAGCTGTCTGACGCTCAGGTTCTGGCACTCAATGGAAAGTTCTTCTGAAAGTGGCACTCTAACACGATTGCTCACAAATCATGTTCCAAAACATCTATTTGACCGGGGAACTTTTCGGCTCTATCCATATCAAAGGTCAATGCGTTCAGGGAATCAAATATCAAGCTGCGACAAGCTGACGCAACGACTCTGCCTGCAGGGCACAGCGTCTATGAGTCCTCCATCGTGATTGAGGTGCGCTGCGCAACGCCCTCCTCCATCGGTCATCTTCCAACGTCTGTTCAACATGTGATTTGCTAAGCTCGAGTGTTTGAGGTTTAACAAATGGCAGCTTTTACATTTGGAGACGTCTCTGGAGCACTTCTTGGATAATTTGAGGACCCAGCAGTTGTGGGCACCATAGATTGATGGAGTGCGGTTACTGAGGGGCTGACGCTCGGAACTTTTTGGGTGTGCTCCAGTACCTTGAGGATGCCTGGCCGTACCTGCCAGCAGACCGGGCCCTCTTCCCCAAGGAGCCTCACCTCAAGGCGCAAGCGAGGATCCGCATCAACGCTATCAACACGGAGGTGACACACAGGCCCCGATTGCTTTTTATTGTCAGTAGTCACGCATCCTGTTGATTGAATCAACCCTGCATCTGGGCCCTGTTCAGTATCTGGTTACGGAGTTTTCTCTTTGTTGAGTGGAGGCCGACGATGTACATAGAGGGCAGCTTGCATTACGAAACCGAGTTCTTGATGGGCTTTTGATAATGTTCAAGCAGCAAACACGAAGCTTGAAACGCGAGATCTGCCTTGATCCGCGCACTTTGCCGTTCTGAATCGCTGGCGCCTTCGAAGACGCCCAACCAACGTCCGATCGTTCCGACTGTCAGTCTCACAATCCAAGGCAAGTCTTGTTTCGACAAAGTATCTTGCAGAGGGAACTGGGCTCCATGTTTCTCATTGAAGTCAATCTACACGGTTCGAAGCCGAAGTACCGACCCGCTTCCCTTCTCCGCAGTTCGTGCCGTCCTTCTTCTCGCTGTTCCTGGCTAAGACTCAGTCGGAGGTGGAGAAAGGCCGGGAGAAGTTCACCGAGCAGCTGCGCAACGTGAACGACGCGCTCAAGGAGTCGTCACCCGAGGGGCCGTTCTTCTCGGGACCAAATCTCGAGGCGGTGGATGCTAACCTGATCCCGTTCGCGGTCCGGCTTTTCATCTTGGAGCGCCTTCGCGGATACAAGAGTGAGGCGCCGTCTCAGCTGGTTTGTGCAAAGTCGAGAGACCAGTCTGCATCTTGTCGATTGCCCCAGACATAACCACGTTTTGTATGTGGTTTGAGCAGCTTTGATCTGTGCCGTATGATCATCGAAGCAAACCGAAGTTTCAGACTGGTTGCGAACGAGCTTCGCCTTTGCCCTCGTCAGCTCACGCCCGACTCGAACGTCGAAGCTTCTTGTGTATCGCTTGCGAGCGCAGCCAAGCCCTGCACGTTAATCTTACCCCCTCACACGCTCCCTGATACGCACTCTTCTGGAGACTGTCACCTTTCACGAAGGCGGATAGCTCCTCTTGCCTTTGGCTTTGAGGATGAACAGTAAAGGAGGCAAATACGTACTCTTGCTACGCAAGCATTGTCCGCCTTCAACGGCCAGATCCGCACAATGTTTGGTCTTCGTCTTGCAGCTCCGTCCGAGGAGGAGCTCCCGCGCTTCTGGCAATGGCTGAAGGCGGCAGAGAAGCACCCGGCGGTGGTGCCCACAATCCACGACCAACAGGAGATGCTCGACTTCTATCAGAAGTACGCCGAGAAGAAGGGCGCGCTGCCGACTGGGCCGGAATTGCTGCTGGTTCCTTCAGTGATTGTAGGTCAAAAGGAGCTCGGAGACCAATCGAAATTCTTATTCTGTATGCCCAGCTTTACCTAAGCTGCCGTGGCACTTTAACATGTGGTAGCGCTGTCTCGTCAAAAGTAAAGCACTGCGGGTCTAAGCGACTCGATTCAACCGTTTTCAGGAGAGACAACTTCCCGGTCAAGGTCCGCAACTTTTGACATGTCAGAGTTTTGCCATGCTTTGCATACACAACAATATCCAGGCACTTGAATAAACTTTCAGCACTCGCGCCGGATTCAGTTTTCTAACATGGTTAGCTTCCTGGCCCAGATCTCACATGTCATGTAGACGAAACGGACGTCGGGACGCGAATGCACTCGACTCGATCGGGCACGCACATGCATACGCAGTCGCATTCACAGGAAGGCATTCGAGATAGTGTGTGCAGATACATGTCGAGTTCGACCCCGTTTAGATTCTATTGATGTCTGAAGACTTCTAACTTGAAGGCGCCAAGGTATTGATAAGGGTCGATACACGCATGGCGCCGCAAAAAAATTGTTGTGCAGCATGTGGCATCCCATCCAATCATACATGTACAGTCATCACGCGTCTTATTCGTGACAAACAGTATGCCTGACAAGTATAGCCTGTGATACCGGCAACCTGCTCAATCAAATCCAGTGGTGGACCTTGATAGAGTAGCCGCCACGATACTACCATTTACAGCTTGTGGTTAGGACCCAACTTGGACTGCGCTCCAGCTCCACAAATCAACCCCAGACATGATCGACCTCGCACTGGATGCATTCCGGCGATTGTGCACCCAACGTAGATTAGGTAATTGGATCTTGGCATGTCACCTAATCTCTTTTTTAAAGCGCAAATATATAGCGCCAGGTATATTCAAAGCGACAACTGTGACTGGTACCTTAGTGTCTGCTACCTTGGCACTGTAAACGATTGGATCGAGACCACTAGTATTTGACATTTTTCCGTGACTTGAAGAGTGTACGAAAGCTTCGAAGCGGACTACCTCTTTGCCTCCCCTTTGCTGACGTCTTTCTTCTCAGTAACGGCCGCTGCTCCTGGTGGAAATATTAGACACAAGCGAGGCTTGTACCGCTTCACCCGTTGCTGCCACTCCTCGCGCTTCCTGTTACGATATACCGTTTTTTGTGAGAAGAAGACAACGTTGCAACCCATTCGTTACGGTTACAGCTTTCGGCCAGCAAGAAGCGTCTCATCAGGATTGAAAAGGCAGGTCCCGACTCAACCCGGAACCTCGAAGAAACTGGGTCGGGTCGTCCGTTGTTGCCATAGGATGCCAACACTACAAGCAGACCGTCACCTCTTCGCAGGCGAACCTGCTCGACAGTAAGCAGCCGAAACCTCACTTCTTTCTGATCTCCCGGAAGTTTCGAACATGCGTTCTTAACAGATCTCTTGGCGTCAGCCTTCCAGAGATAGTATCCTGCATACAAGCGGAAGACGTTTGAAGCCGGTTGCTAAGGACTTGCGCTGCCTCTTGGACGACGTTCCCGCGAGCCCATTACTCACTGTAGGCACGAAGATATGGAAAACAGGGAGAATAAAAGGCAGGTGAATCTGTTGCCGTCCTGTAAGCTCGAGACATTTCAAGTAGGAGGGGCGTTAGAGCTCACCTCCAAACTAAAACCACGCTCTTCCTGTCCGCCGTTAGCGTCCGTTTCCCGGCTGAGCGGTTCCAATGGGAGGGGCCTGGGCAGAACGGATGGCACCACCGGAGCATACCCCAGCTGCAAAAACGAAAGATCAGTTCGTCTCAATTCTCGTTGATGAGAAGGACGCTCCAGCCGAAATCATCGAAGAGGGCGAACAGGATCTAAGTATAAGTGACGGGGAGCAAACGAGGAGCCACAAAGCGACCCCTGCCAAGATGAAGAAGAACCTCTATCGTGTTGCGGTATTGAGCTCCCACCTCCTCATCGTCCGTCGGCCGGTTTCGGACCCATTTCCGGCACAAGCTGTACAAGGAGCTGGGGTCCGCTTCAGAGGACAACCGCACCTGCACGGAAGAAAGGTCGCTCACAGTCTAGCAGCCTTGCACAGGATTGGCCCCCTGAAACCGAACTTCGGAATCACTCGAACTATCAGAATCTTGTGCGCCTGCCGTATGGCAAGCTGGTCTCCATGCTCTGGAGCCCAAGATTAGCAACGAAAAGTCCGTGGACGCTAATCTCGTCCTATCTAACGAGACTGATGATACGAATCAGAAACGTCCGTGTTTCTTTCTGGCGTCGTTCCTCGTATTTCCGCTTACTTGTTTTTACGAAAATGGTGAGATGGATAAGCGCCGGCAAGAATCCAATAAGCAAAAGCACAAGCTGCGGCTGACCTTGACAAGATGGGTCAAAGGCAGAGCCAGGCTCACCCTGTGATCGCCCACTGACACAATGATTGGCTCCTGCACCGTCTCTACATCCGACTGGAGGGGGTGGTCTTGGAACATGGTATGGCCACCTTCTTGGAACACCCTGATACAAGGAACGGTAGAAAGACAACTCTATCCGGTGACATCAACCTGAATGCTTTGCGACTTACCCAACCGAACAACAGGAATCTAACATTGGTCTGCAGCACACTACTTAATCAAGCGCAGCAGTATAAGATGCACCTGAGCACAATTGCTTATTGTAAATGAAGCATCTGAAGCCCAACGTCCCAAGATCTGAGTTCCTCAAAACTCTCGCGCACCCATGGCGCCATGTGAGGTGATCGCAAAGTCTCCTGAGCATGTTCAAGTCTTACCCTGAGGCAGGAACTTCATTCCCATCTGCTAGAGGAGCTGCTGCTGCTGGAAGTACAGATGTGGCTACAGGGACACGCTCCCCCTGCAGGTAGGCACCGACATAAGATTGTCAGAACGATTCACCCTGTCTGGCCCATGTACATCGCTGCTCCCCTTCTTCATTTAGTTAGGTTGTGGGCATCACTAAAGATCAGAGGAGGCGGTGCTTGAGGAGCTGCAGTCAGCCACTCAGGGGCACAATTTCGAATGAGCCATCTCAGATACAGAAATGAGCAGACCTCCGTTTGATTCAGGTCCTTATGTTGCTTACCTCAGGCGTTGACAATGGGGTGCCAGCTGGAACTGGTCGCGCATCCGCACTCGGTTGCGCCAGCCTATGCTGCTCAGGACGAACTTGCTGGTCCAAGGAAGCAATTCCAGCTGGCTGTTGCTGCAATGCATAACCCTGGGGCTGAGCCCCAATGCTCGCTGACCCCTGTACCGATGCTTGCACCTGCTGCCCAGCACTACTCATTGCAGGACTTTGATTTGCAGAGAAGTTTGGCCTATTCAAGCCCGCCGAAGGGACTTGGCCATTAAGAAGCACGGGGTCTCCTCCTGTGAAGGTAGACTGGCTGTGACGAAGGCCATGATCCTCGGACATGGTCGTGTGAGCAATTCACCAGCCCGAGAAGGGAATTGGCTAGTACAGGCCTGATTGAGCACAAGCAAAGAATAGAAGTCCTGCACAACCACCAAATGGAGGCTCTGGTGGGCTCTGGAAACGCGCCCCTGCCTTGGACAAAAGGCAGACAGCATTGAGCACTGTATTAAAGCTTCATGACTGAGTGCGCGAGGCGGAGATAAGAAGCATGAGCTGCACGGATTTACGTTTATGATTGACAGGCAGGTAACGAAATTTGTATTTGATTATTGTTCACGTTCATTATCTACAATCGACTGCTTGAGAGCCCTATTCTGTCTATATGATGGCCAACGCTGATTTCAGCACTGGGTACAGTATTCAAGTGCCACGGACGTATACCCGAATGAAGGCACACATATTACTATTCACTACCTAATTAAATAGGTATTATGCAATCTAGGTAAATCATTGGAATCTTCACTGACAGTGAGGCTGATATTAACCATCTGGTGCGCTCAGCATTGCCCATTCAGTTGAGCTGGCCTAGTGCCTTATGGTGCCATGTCATGGAAGGGCCATGCCTAGCAAGTTAGCAAAGATCATCTTGCTGAAGCCTGATAGTTTGCTACTTGTTGGGGGCTTATTTGTGCTTTCACGCTGCAGGAGCAGCTGATGACAGTCACCTCCAGCTCAGTGCATTTGGGCAAGGCAAAGTATCTGCTGGCGTCGATCTGTACAAAGCACAGAAGGGCATACTACTCATGTCTTCATGCAATCAAGCAGCCACTCGCCCTTGCAAGGTCCCGTCCGGAGGAATATAACCTCACCAGCATTCTGCATAGACGAGGGCTCTCCAGTCAGTCCTGTAAGAACTTTGCCACTTCTTTGATAGTCCTAGGGGCGGCCAAAGGTAGAACATCATCACGCGTCCATGGGAATCTAGATCATCTTGCCACCTTCTGGAAACCTCCTCGTTTCAGGATGGAAGCTGCAGACAAGAAGCATGTGAGGGCAAAGCAGTGGTCGCCAGAGGGGACAGAAGAGCTCAAGCAGCGCCTGCGAGCTTACGAGGCCCAGCAGCTGTCCTCACTGGTGCAGAAGACGCCCAACCCAGACTCTGCCGGGCTTGAAGAAGAGAAGAAACCGTCCAAGAAGGCTTCCGTGCTTGTGTTGCTGTTTCAGGGGCCGCAGAATGAGTTGCGGGTTCTCCTCACGGAAAGGTCAAAGGGTCTTTCTTCACATGGTGGTAGGCAGCCCCCCAGACCAAGTTGTCTAATGGGTTTCTCATTGAGCTGACAATTGTCATGTGTGAGATACATCGTCTCAGCAGATTGTACGGTACTGAGTAACCTGGTTCCAAAGTAGTCGGTTTCTCTAAAAGATCTGGGCTCCACAGTTTCTATCACTGGTCAGTGCTGCAGTTTACTTGTCACTCCATTGTTAGAGTGCAGATGTCCTTGCTGTCTCTCACAGGTGAAGTTGCCCTTCCTGGGGGCAAGCAAGACGAGAGCGATGCTGATGAAGTGGCCGCCGCTTTGCGAGAAGCCAAGGAGGAGGTTGGCCTGGATCCAACGAATGTGGAGGTCCTCACAACCTTCGAGCCCTTCCTCAGTAAGGTACAAAATACAGCCGCCCCAGTGGATGAAGTCTGGGGTCAGTATCCTGGTAACTTGAATAAGGAGAATGCATAGTGTGCTATTTTGAACACTAGATCCCTTGGGGAGTCAGGCTACTGACGTGTGCAGTAGACTATCAATTCGAACTCCACTGGTAGCATTTGGTTAACACCCACTTCTGTTGTCGATCTCTTTTACAGCACCTTTTGCTCGTCACGCCTGTCATTGGGTCCCCCATAGATCCTGAAAGCTTCAAGCGTACACCCAACTCAGGAGAAGTCGAAACCATCTTCGATGCTCCCCTCGAAATGTTTCTTGAGGTAAGCAACGCTTCAGGTCTGCCCCCCTTGTAATACACGCTGGCGCTTTTCTACCGAGGAACCACTCCCGTCTGCCAAGAGAAACGGCTCGTAGTTATTTGCAGTCACAAGCCCTGCAAACAATCTGCCACCACCAATTGCTTCGTTAGTTGCGTTATGCTCACTCGCTGGACACAGGAGGCTTCTCGGCCTCCTCGAAGTTTGTACGTATGCAAGCAGGCTTTGGGTGTTGCACTTCATGTTCAAATTGATTCTCTGCTTGCTTCTCCAGGAAGAAGGGCATCGGCATAAGGATATCGAGATGGTAAATTTCCCGTTCCGACTGCATTACTTTGACTACACAGACGGCACGCGACAATATAACATCTGGGGCTTAACGGCATCCATATTGATCAGGATAGCTAGCACAGTTTTCAATAGGGAGCCAGCGTTTGAGGAGTTTCATCCCACGTTACCAAGCTACAGAGAAATTCTCGTTGAAATGTTGAAAAGAAACCTCTTCGTCCTGTGATCTTGTCAACGTTTTGTTTAGTTAGCTCACTGCTCGTAGCCTAACTTAGTTCTGAAGGCTGCACAACCCTTAGATGTCGAACCGAAATCTGTGAAAGACGTCCTCGTCACTGTCTCAAAGTAACCGCAATTGTCTACAACCTAGCTGCATGGTAGCTGAGGCTGCCCGCTTATTGAAGTTGACGGCCTCAGTGCGTTTCGAGTTCGATTTCGGGTTCACGATTGTTGACCAGGCTACTGCACCTGATTCTGCTGAACGTAAGCCAGCGTGTGACACATCATCGAATCGAATCAGTTCAGGCGCTTCGGGCTTGTCCGTCTTGCTCGACAATGTAATCGCTGACGAATGCTGCTCCACCGCCAATTCCAGGTCGCTATGACAATAGACCTTTAGCCGAATCTGAATATATGAAGCCATGAAACTTCGAGTTGGTTGGAACCCATTCAAATGATTCGAATGATAAGCACAATTCATATGCGTAATTGAGATCTCGAGCTAATCTTGTGGCGGCGTGGCCATGCTTAAATGGATACATGTCATAAAAGAAGACCTCCAAACGCTGCATGATTGGCATGCAGTGTTGCATGAGATGGAGTGCGCTCGCGAGATTGGACTCGGTGTCTGGCGATTATGCACATGAGTCCGTGCACGTTTTAGCCTAGGCAGATGTAGGTCAGCTTAAGTATCAATTCTGATTCTGACGCGATCGCGTCCATGCCACAGTTGCCCACGTGTCCAGGTTTCCACTCGCTTGACATCGCTCTTCACCCTCACATAGAATTGGCCAAATTTGTTGCAATAGTAATGCATCGCATCCTGTGCACTGAGGTTGAATACTTGGACAAACTACGCATGTACATAGCTCCGATTGTGATCCGAAGCCACTGCAATTGGATACTAAATATGCTTCGAAGCAATTTCTTGGTCTTACCGGGGTCCCACGTAATCTCAATCGCACATCTCGCGAAAGACGTCACTAGTTACTGACTATCACAATGGGAATGGATACGCACTTGCTAAACTTCGTCATTCAATAGATACATGAATAAGTTCTCTACTATTTCCAGGTTTAGCAACGCAGTTTCTCACATGAAAGGTTCGACCTCGTTTGAAACTACACAAATCACGCAAGTACCTTAGAATCTAAGAAGAGTCCCCTTTTCATTTCTATAACCACACGGGTGTCCACCCCTGTCCTATAGAGTGGTGGCAAGAAAAGCCAATCAGCAGTGAGGAAACAAAATGCTAACGTCAGTCCAATCGCCAACAACCTTGGAAGTTTAGCAGTAGACGGAAAAGCTGTAAGAACCCATCGTTCAATAATGGTTGCAACTCCGTGCAGAGTAAAGAATGCAGTCATCTCACCCGTCACTGTGTGCGATAGATACCAAAGAGCTAGCTCGTGCATTATGCCCGAGACAAAGAATGTTGCCAGTACTGGTAATATTCTCACAGCTAACTTGTTGTTACTTTTTGACGATGTGCTGACCCGATTGTCTCGATGTATGCCCTGTTCAGGTCCCATTTGCTCACTCGTTAGAGGACGATGGCAATGTCGTTGCTTGAGGTCGAAATCAAGTTGCTTGGCTGAAGGGTTTTGAAACCCTTCACCTCTTTTGCCACTTGTTAGTTCCAGCAAAGGTTCATAAACAGCCCCCCGCAAAACTCCACTAACCGTTAGATTCCATCTGCGTGCCCAGAAGTCCGCCAATGACTCGGACAGAAATGGTCGATCAAAATCCGGAAGCAGCTCTATCCCGAGTACCCATGACACTATTGCGGCGAAGAGATCCATAATGAGCGACGCGAACAAGTACAGGTTGACATAGCAAAAGAAATGGTAAACTAGAGTGTGCAACTGCTCTTTCTTATCCACTATCTGAACTGTGACCAGCAAGATTGCCACTTTTAGTACACTTTGACCTAAAAACTTCGAACTGCTTTCTGTTTCCTGTTGGACCATCTTGGAGTTTGGAGTGCGGACCGTCGACGGCTTTGGATTGATGGGCGAGCAGAGTACAGCCGAAAAGCGAAGGATATTGTCGCTGACTGCAGGGTCTGCCAGGGGACCACGGCCAAACACTAACATCAGCAGTTTGAAGGAAGCTAACCAGCTGAAAATGCAGCCCAGTAGTGCGGATGGGATGGTGGCTGTTTGGTAGTCATAGACTAGGACAGGGAGGGCGAGATAGAAGACGACCACTGGAACTGCAAGAAGGAGCCTAACAGGGAGAGACTTCTGCCGCCTGATGGCAAAGAAAGAGAAGAACGATGTCACTACCGCGGCGCCCGCAACCCTCACAATAGAAGAGTCCAGCATCTTTTACAGCTGTCAAAGATGGCCCCCGCGATAGCCCCTCTCTACTAACAACCTAGCAAAAAGTGGTGGTGTTTGATTCCCTTTCCTGTAGTACTTGCTGTCACACCCTCTGCTAACCACTCGTACCACAGGGGCAGCTGATGAGAGGGTGGTGCACAAGAACTTGACCTTCAAAGACGACGGGCGTCAATACCAACCACTTCCACACCCCTCACCACACTCTCTCACCACTGTCTCACCAATATCCAGGAGAGACAAAGAAGTGACCACAGGAAGTGAACCACAGTAAATCCTCACACGAGGCTTCACTCTCCCCTCTCTTCCAATGCCATCCTAACCAACCTTGCGCCGCCGGCCCTTTCGTTGTGCTGAATCACAACGCCGTCGCTAGCTGTCAAGCTGTCAGATTCCTTGACTGTCTATGTAACCTTTTGGGGTTCAGCATGATGGACCCGGTTTCTGAGCTAGTAGCTTGCGCATAACCGAACCCTTCAACTGTTTTCAAAACTGCCCGGGTTGTATAGTTCCGAGTCCCTTCTGCTGTACTATCTGCAGCCGGGGTTTCCATTAAATGATCGGACGGTTGACCGCACCGTTTGAGGTCCACTAACCATTGGCATCGGGTTAGTGTTGTATTACCTAATGCAAGCAATGTTCACCTTGCCCTGATCAGATTCACTGACAAACATTGCACCTAGCAAACTTCAAGGTGGACACCATGGCGCTGGTCAGCTTGCTCGTCAAGGCTCTCCTCTCCCTCGTCCTCCTCCTCCCTTTTAGTTCTGCAGCTTGGGAGGGCGAGGCCCAGCTTCCTCCTGATGAGTACAACACGAAGGGGGGCCCTGTGAAGGACAAGCTGAATGTGCACCTGGTGGCGCATACGCACGACGACGTGGGCTGGCTCAAGACTGTCGACCAGTACTACGTTGGGTCGAACAACTCCATCCAGGTGAGGACTCAAGCCAATTGTCAAAGTTGGTGGTGATTAGGTGGCATGCATTGATTGCCCCAACAACATGAATCAGAATTAAGGTGGAAATTGGGAAACATAATGTTTCTTAAAATACTTAAGGGTGAACGCAGCAGCTGGGAATTGTGGTAGGAGCTGCCGAGGCTGCTTGAGAAAACTAGCAAGTGGTACCATTTCTGAGGAAGGTTTCAGCTTGACATTGTTGATGTTTTTGGTTCCCCAGGGGATGCCAATTTGTGCAATGCATGCCAGGTCAATAATCACAGTATACGCCCGGGTTCTTGACTTGGAAAAAGCAATTTGTCAACATTTGAGCCAGCCCAGGGCTCTTTTCCACACACTTTGTGGGCTCAAAACTTTGCCCAAATCATAGGCTTGAGCTAAACACTAGAATCCTTTTTATGCACTCTTGCAGTTTGCAGGCGTCCAATGGATTCTAGACTCAGTAGTCCAGAGTCTGGCGCAGAATCCTGACCGCAAGTTCATCTATGTGGAGCAGGTGCGTTATACCCTGACATACAATGTTTTGTTTGACATATTTGGCATTTGGCAAATATGGAAATTGAACAAACGCAGTGCATTTCTTCAGTCTCTTGGGTTGCTCTGTCCCTGAGAATTGTTAGATGTGCCTGTAAATGAGCTTCCTTTTTTCTCTTGTGTCAGCGCTCACCTTTTATTATGTTTCATGCAGGCCTTTTTCCAACGGTGGTGGCGCCAGCAGAACAAGAAGACCCGCAAAGTGGTTCAGAAGCTGGTCAAAGATGGGCAGCTGGAGTTCATGTAGGGCTTTGCACCCATTGATAAGCTGGGACTTTATCCATATAGAAGTGCTTACTTCATTCAACTTTGACCGTACGCAATAAAATTGTTCCTGGTGTGCGCAGCTTCAGCTGCCTCTGCTTTACACTCGGAAAAAGGAATTGCCGGGGGCTTTTTCCAAGACCCGCTCTTGAAAAAAGCTTTGAATGGTTCCTAAACTTTTCAATTTTTATCCTCTGTTTTCTCCATTAGTATTCTTTTTGTGATTTAACCCTCTTTTTCAATGCCACTTCCTAATCCATTCCTCATTATTTGAGCGGAGACACAAGTTAATATTGTGCGTTGTCTTGTGTGTCCAGCAACGGCGGATGGTGCATGCACGACGAGGCCACGACGTACTATGTCGACATGATTGACCAGACTGCCCTGGGCCACCGCTACATCCGCGACCAGTTCGACCAGTACCCGCGCATCGGTTGGCAGATTGACCCCTTTGGCCACTCCGCTGTCCAGGCGTCGCTGCTCACAGCAGAGGTCAGACAGCTGCTGTGGTCCTGGGGGAAACTCAGTTGTGAAAGAGTTGTGCAGCTTTGATAGAAAGCAGGCACCTAGCTGAATGGCACTGAAGAAGTAGATAAAATTGTTCTCAGATTCTGTCTTGTCAGTGGGCTGCGAAAAAGATTCTTGTATATAAGGATGAGCTAGGCCTTAGAATCCATTTCCACACTGAAGCTTGACTTGCAACTTCGTCCCCCCAAAACGATACTGGTGTCCAGTGTCTGCCAAGCTTGACAATCGGTCCTGTCCACATTACTCTACTTTTCTGGTATGCTCGAGTCATTCAATCGTATGTCTTCCAACAACCGTTGTGTCAGATGTCACGTTTTTTCAGTAATTTGAACAAAAGAAACATCATAAGTCAACATAGTTTGACGAATCCTAGCTGCTGTGACACATTCTGACAAGATTCGTTGGGTGCAGCTTGGCTTCGATGGCTTATTCTTTGCGCGCGCCGACTACGACGACGTCAAGAAGCGCCGGGAGGAGAAGTCCATGGAGATGGTCTGGCGCGCCTCCAAGTCCCTGGGCAAGTCGGCAGAGGTGGGCCGAGAAATCGCCCTGTCTAATCTGCTGGAGATCAAGATTGAGGACATCTCCAAATCTGGTCGCCCAAGCTAAAGGCCGGTCTTGATCTCGACTCGAAACGCATCAGCGCCCAGAAGACTCACGTTGCACGGATTTGTGCAGACATTTGCTGGCGTCATGGGGCACCACTACGATACCCCCGTTGGCTTCAACTTTGACATGTGGTCGAAAGACCCCCCTATCCAGGTGAGCTCGTCAGCTTCGGTGCTTGACGTCTGGCTGGTCTTTGACGAAGCTGCGAGGGGCTGAGGGACAAAGTTCGATTCGCTACAAGCAACTTCCGGGTCTTGGCTCAGAGCTGATTCTGCGGATCATAGTAATCCTGCAGTCACTCGTACTCTTTGTCCGAAGGGGAATTAAAATCAAGTGTTTTAGTCCGCCGCCCAGAAGCCTGTTCTTGTCTTTCCGACTTATATTACAATGAGTCGTGCTTGTGGGAGGGGCCGAGGTTGGGCATGGGCCGCAGGGAAGTACGAGAGCTCAGAAGTTGACGCAAGTTGATGCAATTAGGATACCATCTTCTGGGTTCTTTTCGAACTGACATCATCATTTCGCTGGCAGGACGACCCGCGGCTGTACGATGTGAACGTGGCGGAGCGCATCGAGGCGTTCATCAAGGACAATTTGGCGCAGGCGGCGCAGTTCCGCACGAACAACATCATGCTGTCCATGGGGGCGGACTTCGTGTACAGCAACGCCAACACCTGGTTCACCAACATGGACAAGCTCATCCACTACGCCAACAAGGTGACGCAAAAACAGTTGCCGCTTAGCGCAGGCTTGCTCGGCTGTCCCATCACTCGAATGACTTGGTTCGGGATTCCGCAGATGAAGCTGTTCAGGGGGGTCTTGCGGAATGCATCTCCCCTTTCTCGAAGTCGAGTAGCAATAGGATCCTCCTTGGCGATCTCATCGTTCGCAGGATTGATCATCACAAAGGTTCCATTTTCAACTTTTCCAGGGATCGATAAGAACGCTGTCAAGTTCCCGTCTCCTCAACACATCCGAAAGTGACGAGGTCTTACGTAAAACACTTATGAGGACTCTGGCCTTGTACTTGTTGCCTCCGGTTCGCAGCTCAAAGCTGTGGGTCGCGTCTCTTATCGTGCAGGATGGTCGCGTCAACGTTTTCTACTCCACGCCGTCCATCTACCTGGATGCCAAGTACGAAGCCAACGAGACCTGGCCGCTCAAGACAGACGACTTTTTCCCGTGAGTCGTTTGTAACAGTTTATACATGCTCGCCCTTCTTTCCGGAAAGTACGCGATTATGTGCAGCGAGGCCCCTGGTCCGCTCTATATTTCGACATCGATCCTCCTCAAGTCATGTCCGAGTTTCGTGTCAACGTCTGCTCAATAATCTTGAAACGCCCACGCGTGAGGAATAGGAATGACTTTTCAGAGGAAGCTGTCCAGATTGACCGAAGTGGGCTGCCTCGTCGAGTCGCAAATGAAAAGAAACTCAAAACCTCGGCCCATGCAGGTACGCGGATTGCCCGCACTGCTACTGGACGGGCTACTTCGCGAGCCGCGTGGGCCTCAAGGGCTACACGCGGGCCCTGTCCGGGTACCTCCAGGCTGCCCGGCAGCTAGAGTTTCTGGTGGGTCGATCGGCGACAGGGCCCAACACCGACGAGCTGGAGGAGGCGATGGCCATCGTGCAGCACCACGACGGCGTCAGCGGGACGGAGAAGCAACACGTGGCGGACGACTACGCCAAGAGGCTGGCCATCGGAGCGGCTGAGGTGAGGAAGACGCCCCCTCGACCTTGTTTCACTAGCATGGCATGGAGATTGCGGTCTCAAGCTGGCAAGTTCTTTTGCGTTGCAATGTCACCTTGATGTCAGCGATCTGTAACGGTTAAGCTCCAGGAGAAGCAATGTGACCCCCTTGCCCTTCGTGTCTCTATCCTCGATCTGCTGTGGTTGCGTTAGAGCTCTTCACATCGTGCCAAGCGCAGCTGCATCTGCCGGTTCCACAGGAAACAACCATCATTAGGGGCCCTGCGAGGAGCAGAAGACGAGGAACCAAATCTCTATGCTTTGGCCCCGGCGATTTTGCATGGAATGGTTTTCTCCCCGCTGCGCAGGCCGGAGCTGTGGTTGCCAACGCCCTGGTGACGCTCACTGCGGGGCAAAAAGCGGGAGCGAAGGAGGGCCTTTCCTCGTCAGCCGACGGCTTCATGCACGCCCGTGTTCTTCTGAACGAGAAAGCCGCGCCCCAAGCGGACCACGACTCCGAAGGGCATGCATTCGAGCAGGCAAGCAGAGCTTTCGAGCAAGCAGAGCTTTTGCTGCTTTCGGGGTCTGGTTGCAATCTGTGCTTTCGCACGTAAGGAAAGCGTCAGTGTCGAAAACCTCCAGTTTGAAAGGCAGCACGCAAATCAGTGCCGTCGAAAGGCGGTCTTGATTGACCACAGCAGTTGTTCAGTAACCGGTGGCTTCGAGGCTCGAAGGGTGCAGAAGTTCCCGCGTGAGAGGGTTTTCAGCGGCGTGCCCTTGTCCGGCGCTAACTCTTTAATCGTTTCTTTTCTGATGCAGTGCCCCCTCCTCAACATCAGCAGCTGCCCCATCACCGAGAAGCTCATCGAGGAGGACACGTCGCTGGTTAGCCGCGCGTCTCGCGCTCTCCGTTATCTTCTCGTCCTGTTTTATCAACATTTGCCACTTGCCATTGAGCGAGGGTTTGTGCATCAGGAGACAAAAGGACGGTCTTCACTTTTGCGCCTACTGTCTAGGGCCACCCTCGTTTTGGCCTTGCACCGTTTCTGCAGTTTGCCTTCTATTTGATCATCTTGAAGACATTCGTGTCCTTGTCCTACCCGGATGGCATTGAGACTTCGCGAGTACGGATTGAGCTGATACAGAAGCAACCTTTCTAAGTACAGCGAATGAGCTTTGTAACTCTTTTCGTCTTTCCTTTGGCGTACATTTCCCCTTATTGCTGGTCCGAAAGTCGATCACATAGCCGACTCCCTCGTTTACAGCAAAACCATTTCAAACCCCTCCAAACCCCTGTGCCTCTCGCTCGTGTCTGCAGGTGGTGGTTGCGTACAACTCGCTGGCTTGGCCGCGCACGGAGCTGGTGCGCTTCCCGGTTGCGAGCCAGCTGCTAGCGGTGACCGACATGTACGGCAACCCAGTGCCGTCCCAAGTGGCGCCCATCCACCACGTCACCCGCACCCTCAGGGCCCGCCACGTGGCAGCCGACCAGGAGGCGCCCTTCGAGCTGACGTTCCTGGCGGGCGTGCCCCCGCTGGGCTTCGCCACCTACTTCCTGGGGACCAAGCAGGCCGGCCAGCCAGGTAAATTTTATCCACTCAATCTGCAGGGGGCGGGTCGTGGTACACTGGGCTATTAGCCTAAATGTGGGCGATCTCGGTGAGGCTAGCATTGTCGGCGGCTTTCGGTTGCATGGTTTCTTCTGCTTAACCTGTGCAGCCTCGGATGAATATTGCTATTCTGGATCTTCTTTTGAATGGTTGGAAACAGTTGGCGTGTTCACTTGCAGTGTATCCTTCGAGATGGGACTGGCATCCTGACATTGGTAACAGCTTGCCCGACTAGACTGGTTCCAGGGCTGAGCTAGAGGCTTCGAAGGGCTGCGAAGAACATGCTGCTTGTGTATTGTATGAAAATTAGTGACGAAGTGCCGTCTTCTTTCAGGCCTGGCGGCGGTGGCTGTCGAGGAGCCCGTGAACGGTTTCGGGACAGACTTCGACATCGGGCGCGGCGCATTGAAGCTCACTTTCGGCGGCGACTCCGGAAGCCTGAAACGCATTGCAAACAAGCGCACTCAGGCACGTGCAGTCCCTCGCAACCGTTTAGAGCTCTCGTGGGCAAGAAAATCTTCGTCGGTGTATTCTATTGTATGTTTGCTTGCAATCTGCTGTTTTCTAGTTCGAGTAGGAAGGGAGGCTGCTCTTCTCGTCGAAGGAGAGTTCTGTAGGTGCCTTGCAAAGGTTATTTACAGGCATCACCTCGTGAATTACAAGGATGTTCAATCGCACTCACGTACTCCCCTTGCAGACGTCTTTGGGCGTGGTCCACCAGTCGATGTTCTGGTACAACGCCAGCGACGGCAACACCGAAGCGAACCCGCTGCAGGTGAGAAGGCTTACCAGTCCTTTTGCCGCCGTATACCATGCTTTGCAATTGCACCAGAGTTTTTCGAAGGCCCGCCCCCTGAGTCGGTGGAATTTGCGCGAGTCACGCTAGAACTCTCGCACGGGCCGAATGCTGACCCTTCAAACGCCCCGAGGGTGGTCAAGGAGCAATTGTCTTTGTGGAATGGCCTTCACCTCGCATACAAAACACACTCCTGTCGTTTCTCGTGCGCGCATTCCGCATTTACGATGTTTTCCTTATTTCCGCTCCTCCCTGAGCCGGCTGTCCGGCTGATTGTCTCCAGTGCCGGTCTCGCTTCCAGGCCTCCGGGGCCTACATCTTCCGCCCCAACTCGTCCACCGAGTATCCGCTCTGGGACACCGCCGCCGACACCTTCGTAAGCGCCCTTCCAGCTCAGCTTCTACAGAGGGATCCAGCCCACAACCATCCGAAAGCGATAACGCTTGTCTCCAGGCTAGTACACGCTTGCTGTAGAAAATGCCTGAGTTGCATCGTCTTCTTTACCCCTGGACAAGTACGCCTAACAGGCCCAGCATGGTGTGTTTAGAAGAACCTCAGTCCGGCTGCGTTTTGGGCCTGACCCGGAGGTGCCTCCCTACCCCGCCGCTGCTTGTCATTGCTCGCTGACGTGTGTCTCGTGCCTTGTCCAGCCCCGGCTGTCGACGGTGCGCGGTCCGCTGTACGAGGAGGTGCGCCAGGAGCTGAGCCCCTGGGCCGTGCAGACCTTCCGCGTCTCCACAGACGGCGCTGATGCCGACGTGCAGTACACGGTGAGCTGATCAAAGTTTACTAGGTTGCAGACAAGAGTCTTCAATGCACAATCAAATGACGTAAAGCGGTCGGTCCGACGTGTTCTGAACGACGGCGATGAGCCGGCTGTCCTGACATGCTCAAGGTAGAGCTGTTGGCAGGAGTCGCAGGACGGATCCAATTCGAGACATCCGCTGCTCTGCCAGAATGTGGATGCTGGGAGCTTGTATTGCAGAAGCACGCTCATGCTGAGGGAAAAGAGTAAGTCTTTGGCCCCTAGCACCGTTCCTTGAAAGGTGCGCTTCAGAGAATGCGGCCTTGGAGTCCGACTCTCGCCCCGTGCTTCCAGGTGGGCCCCATCCCCATCGACGACGGCTTGGGCAAGGAGGTGGTGATGCGCCTCGAGACGGACATCCAGAACGGCAAGACCTTCTTCACCGACAGCAACGGCAGGGACCTCATCCAGCGGGTACGCCACCGCCGCGGACTCCACCCGCCCGGTGAATACATGCTGTGATGCCCGGTTATCAGGTTCGTCAAAACGTGCAAAACGGCTCGAGAGGCTAAATTGTATCCTGAAGGACCGTCCGCTGATAATCCAAACAAGGTTGCAAAGCTCAGCACACTCAGGAAAGAGGTTGCAATCCAACATGATACACCATCTTTCTGACTGCCAGGTGGTGGACAAGCGGCCGACGTGGAAGCTGAACGTGACGGAGCCGGTGGCCGGCAACTACTACCCGGTGAGGAGCCAAGCACGGCGAGCAGCAGTGACGCGCGCTGGGTCGCTCTCTCTCGTTGTGAAAGAGATCCTACAGCTCCATCCTGAAGCAATTTGGGGCTCAGGATGGTACGTCAGAAATCGACTTACTTTCCACTATACGCCGCAAGGCTTCTGATTCAGCATTTCATCTCAACCGAGCTACGCATGGAGCAGGACGCATCACCTGATCCTGCTACGCGTCTGGCTGAGCATTTGCGCGGTTTGCCCTTGCTCCTGCCAGGTGAACGCGGCCATCTTAATCCGCGACGCCGCCACTCAGCTGACGGTGCTCACAGACCGCTCCCTGGGCGGGGCTAGCCTGGCGGACGGCCAGGTTGACGTCATGCTGCACAGGTAAGCAAAACATGCAGATACACCGCGGCCACGCCCCAGGCTGGTATAGGCAGAGTAGGCTGGGTCGTGAACCTCAATCTGAAGGTGGACTGAAGGAGGCAAAGTGGGATGTTGTTGTGCGGTTTGGGTTGCGAAGCAGCCAGTGAGAGCTGCGAGCGGAACGAAAGCTTTGGCCTTCTGAAACATTCGCGCCTTGTGAGCCGCCTCCGTGGACTGCCGATCCCTCAGGTTGCGAAAGTCTCCTCCTGCTAGCTGGGCGTTTTTACAACATTGCGCTCTGCTGCCTCGGCCTTATCTCTGATAATTTGCATCATGTGCAGGCGCCTGCTCCATGACGATGCGCGCGGAGTAGGAGAGCCGCTGAACGAGACCGCTTACGGCGAAGGCCTCGTGGTAAGGACCGGCCACGCTTCGGCACACCCAACATCCACGAAATGTTCTCTGCCGTTCGTACGTGATTCCGTGTAGTTTCGGTTGGGGTCCCCACGTCAAGAAATGTTCCATCCTCGTCTCAATCGTTATTAATTGTGGCTGCAAGTCTTTAATGTCCTCCCTCCTGCCTGTGCTGACCTTTGGTTTGGTTGCTTGGCTGCAGACGCGCGGCGTGCTAAAGGTCGGCGTCCACCCCACCAACGAGTCCGCCCGCTGGCTCCGCGAGAACGCGCTCCGGGTCTATAGCCCCCTCCAGCTCGCCTTCACCACGCAGGTAAATGCGTGCCACCTGGGCCCCCGATAAACGAGTGTCAAGAATCTTCTATGCGAATCCATTAGGAAGGGTGTAAAAGGAATCTTATCCTGCGTCCTTTGTTTGGTCCCAGTGTACCCCCAACATTTTTGGATTGGTTGGGACTCGGTCGGTGAGTGCGCGCCAAACGGTCTAGGAGGTCTACCTGAAGGGCTTTCGGTTGATTTCGGGGACGGTTGCATAGACCATGCTCCGATCGCCGGAAATGCAAGTGCTTCACAACTCAAGAGCGCCTTTCAGAAGCGCCCTCCTCCTCACGCCGTGGTCTTCTGTGCGTAGAAGAGCGGCGGCGCGCCCGCGTGGCTGCGGTCGCATCGCGGCAGTTTCTCGGGCCTGCGGGAGGGCGCGCAGCTGCCGCCCAACGTGGCGCTCACCACGCTGCAGCAGCTGCCCGACGGGACGGTCCTCCTGCGGCTGGCGCACCTGTACGAGGTGCGCCACGAGGACCTCCTGACTGATCGCTGACGTCGTGCTGACGCCTTGCCCGGCTTATTAAAGCCCTGCACGATTGCTTGGGACTTGTGTGCTGAGTCTACGTACAGTGTGCTCAGAGCAGTCACAATCGTTGGTGAATTAGAGAGCGAACCAGAGAAAGTTGTGAGTTTGGACGGACATTTTCCTCGTTCAAGCGGGTGCGAGGACGGTCTCCTTTTGAGTGCCTAGTCACAGCAACCCTCAGAATTCTAACCTCTCCGTTCAGGTGGACGAAGATCCTGAGCTGTCGCAGCTGGCACGCGTGAACCTACGGGCCCTCTTCCCCACCAAGGTAAGCCCCAGCGCTGCTCTCAGCTGAGACCTCGCACCTGGCTGCGTCCAAGTGGGTGTGGTCTGAGGTGCCGTCTTCGGGCTTACTGAAGAGCCCGCTGTCGGATCTTTTCGCCCTTTTGGACAAATAGGAAGGGAGGGAGGCGAGTGCTCTGCTCCATGCACGTTGTTGTGTAAGCAGGACTCACGATCCAGCTGTCACCTGCACAGATCGAAAAGGCAACGGAGCTGACGCTGTCCGGCAATCAGCCCAAGTCTGCGGTGAAAAAGAAGGTGTGGCGGGTGGAGGGCGAGGAGAGCACCCGGCACGCCAGCCTGAGGGGCGGTCCCTTCAAGGACGACGACCTGACCGTGGAGCTAGGGCCGCTGGAGATCCGCACCTTCGGGATCCTTTTTGCGGAGAAGGTCATGTAGTCAGGACCTGGCCCCCAGGTTAGTCCCCGGTTCAAGTGGCACCTCGTCTGGAGGAGGTGGCCTTGCAATTGGAGTCGGTAGGTGAAATGGATGTACCTTGAGCTGATGCGCGGTCAGAGAGGCACGCGAGGTTCCGAACATGAGATACTTCTATGACAAGATTGCCATCACAACAGTTGCTCAGATAGTCAATTCACTTCCTCGTGATTGTTAACAATCTCAATCTTGATTTTTGAATCTCTGAACCTGTTGCGATACAAAAGACACACCAAAGGCCCGACTCTGAAGCTAAGTCCATAATCTTCCGTTCAATCAGTGTCATTTAACAATTGTATTCTCCGTTGAGCAATCAGTCTTGGATCACTGTGCGTCGCTCGTTTTCCAATGCGTGGATCTACTCATCACTAATTCCATACATGTACGCATCCATGCGTGTCACCAAGTTCTGCACGCTGACTCAATTCATGCATTGTCTTGCTCATGCATGCACTGGGCCTTAATGCTTTATAGCGCATGCAAACTTTCCATATATGCATGATTGGATATATAAGCATGTGGTATACAATGTGAATTAACTAAATTACTGAAATGTCGGCTGTGGGGACTTACA